TTTCAATCGGGAACCCTTCGTATTCGCATCTGTAACTTTATATTTTATAGATCGTATTTATATTGAAAGTTATTTTACCTTGAAATAGTCTTACAACCGAGAGTGTTTTGTGTTTTCTTTTCTGAAACACACGGAGGTAAATCTAGAATTGTTTAGAATTAGTTTATTTATTAGTGGTGAGGAAAGGACTCCACATTCTAAAGCAAGGAATTATTTATTGTTTGTTTATAGTCAAACACAAAGCTACAAAATAGGCTATATGTGCTGAGTATCGCTTTATTTATTAGTGGTGAGGAAAGGACTCTACATTTGAACCAAGGAATTGCTTTGTCTGTGTTAATTTCTGACGCATGAAACATCTGCTTTTAAAAATCCCTAGTTAGACTTTTCTTGTTAAACCGAATATTTGTAGCTTAGGACTGTACTCCTACTCTGCTTCATGTTATACGATCATTTAATGTTTTGTCAATAACCGAAAAAATTAATAGAAGGTCAAGAAGTAAAGAGCTGATAAAAAAAAAATGTTGCCGGACATTAGGAGTGTAAGAAACTGCAAAAATAATATTTGGTCAATTAATGAACTAAGTAGTATTTCATGGTTTGTAAATAGTAAACATATGTTGAATATTGTTTTAAACAATACTAGTTAATCGATTAAGAGAGAGAGAAAAAAGACAAAGAATCTAACATGTGGTAACACTGATAATATTTCACTGCGCTAGTTTGCTATGATAAAGTTACAGTGCGTGTTGGTTTGTGCCTATGACGTGAGTGGCAGAGCCACACGCGGTGGCGCGACTGTAGCGATGGGTACCATGATATACGAGCGTCGTGATGTACTGCAGTTATTCGGTGCGGCTCGAAGTGCGAAGAGAGACTGTATCCTTTTAACGTAGATACAAGTGGATGGCAATATAAGCAGAGAGGTCGTCAGTTTCTTCTACCCCGTTGTTAGGGTAAGACATACCTTTGTGTGTGTTTTTGTCTGTCGTTTCTAAGCTACTTAATTCTTATATCGTGATGATGGAAGGATAATAACGTGTCGAGGGACTACACTTAATTTATGAGAACTTAAAATATTAACACAATAATTATATTTGTTATAAAGTTGAAATATAGGGATATTTTATTTTGCGTAACAGGTGTAAATGTCCTTTTTTATCCTTTATATAAATTTGTTATATTAGCTGTTATTACAACTGTAAATATATATATATATGTACAAACCTTTTATTAAGGTATGGCAGACGAAGTCTGTTCATTCCCTGCTTCTCCATGTGAGAGGGTGAAGCAAAACTGATGTAAAGTGGGTCAACGACAATAACCCCCTTCACTTGATTTCGACAGCTATACTGAGACGTTTTCAAGTTTTGATTTGTATTTCATTTACCAGTAAACTATCTGCATGTTCGTGAATGAAGGTCTGAGAACTGTCCTACCACATTTCACTATATAGTTAAACTAAGCTTCTGCTAAGTGGATCATCTTGGGACTAATTTAAGTGGGCGACAAAATAGTTTCTACTTAGGGGATTTACTCCAATAATATGAAGTTGGGGTAAGCCTTGGCATATTTCTGTTGAAACGTAGTTGAAGTACAGTGGGGGAAGGGATTCTGCTGTATTTATTGGAACTCGTAACACTTCTTTTTGGAATTCTAAGTGTAAAACCACTTTTCTTCTTGAAGTACATAGAGAATTTCGATATATTTTTGTTATTATTATTTTGTATTTCTTGGCAGTTCAGTTTGAATTGCGCATAAGTCCGAGAAACTTTCTACTCCATACGATGTGAAGCCAGGTCCTGGGAAAAGTGAGTAACTGCATTTCTTTAAGGATAATTTTACCACTGAATAGAAGCAGATACATTCTTAACGCTTAACCTAAGCAATCCTATCTGGATAAGCAGATTATCTTCTGACATTTATTTTTTTTTTTAGTTCTACACATTTGATCATTGTTGTGAACTTATTTTACACAGTTGTAGTTTTGGTTGAAACTTACCAAGAGTTCTGCACAACCTACTACTGAAATATGGGCCTGCAGTATTGAACTCCACTCCTGAACAAGAAACTAGGATGATGTTGCCTCTACAAGTTGGTTATATGGGATACACGCGGAGGAATCGATCAAAGAAGGTCCACACATGCTCAGTAGGATTCATATCTGGCTATTGTCTTAGCTACGGGAGAGTGGTAATGGTCTGACCTTCCAGCCATCGTTTTGGAGCTCGAGCAGAGACCCGGTCAGCTGGACGTTGGTGTAGAAAAATAGAAAACCTTGCTCGAGATATCCGATGTATGAAACAGCGGCAATGACTATCCCTTCGCATACCCCCAGCTGTGATCGTCCTCCCTACACCATAATAGGAATGCACCTTATTTTGTCGTGGCTTTCATACGATTGAACGAAAGTTACCAGGAGGATGGTTGCCAAACTACGTGCATCCACCCTTCGAATATTATACACACCTAGATTTATCGAAAATAATTACATTTTCCAAAAGGTAGGAGGGCGTGATAACATCTGTGATATCCACTACTGTCGACATAGATATTGCCTGGAATGAGGAGTGACTTCCGTCTGTCTAATCTACCATTGTTGCCCATGTTGCAAAGACAATTTTTGATGGGATTGTGGCACACTTGCATCCGTCTCACCACAGTAACATCCCTTTGACGTGGGTCATTCTCCACAGTACGACGTACGTTCTGTTGGCTCTGGGTGTCAGCCGTGCAGAAATGTTGATTATCAACTTATCTGGAACTGCGTTGCTATTGTATTTGCTTAGAAATGCAGTTGAAGTGGCGATTTCTCACTAACTTTTACCGTCATTCCATCACCTACGTGACCTCGTGAAAATACTGTTAATTATCGGTATCCTTTTCTTCGTAGTTTAGCAGTTGGTATTCTGTGACCGTAACGGAACAGTACTTGTATTTGCACGTCAAGCTTGTTTGCATATGACGTTGGAGATGGTTGATTGGTACTCTTGGGGGGTGTCTACTCGTTGGTTGGATATGTAAGTATTCTTAGATAATGGGCATTTATTTCGTTTGTTTGTTTTTTTTGTTTAATATAAATATGTGCATTTTGTCGTACATTTATTAATGAAAATATTTCCGGATTAACATCTGTAACTGGCGTAAGGAAATTTGTCCATCTCGTGAAGATATCGCTGACAGCTTTCAAATGCTGGACACGTTCATAATTAGGTATTCCACTTTCTTTCTTATCGCCACGTGAATAAGTGTGAAGATTTCTCACTCCAGTCACCACTGTGTCTAGGTTTTGTAAACAGATGTAAGTTATTCTATGGAGTATTGAGCTTCTAGTAAAAATACCAAACATTAAGCCTAGCGAGGTATCATTTTTTTGTTGTTTTTTTCTCGTGTGTTTGGCTGATTTTGATATGTAATCTCTAGGTTCTTCAGATTGTGGTATTATGTCCGGATTAGGGTAAAGTGGTCTCATTTATAATTGTTTAGCAGAAAACGCACATAGTGTACTTTTTTCCTTAGTGTGTGCGTTATGGTACTGTGACTTAGGTTTACTAAACCTAACTTGTCCTTGAAACAATATTTGCAGTTTAACAAAACCCATGAATAGAATTGAGAATGTGGAAAAAGAAATCGATTCCGTCAAGAATGTAATGAATACTATTTTCACACAACGGTTACTTATGAGTTTGAACGTTCTAAGCCAAGCTGTGTGTGTGATTATATTTCAAGAAATGTTCATGTTAAACAAGATGTATATGTACTTCCCTGTAATACTACTGGATGAAATAATTATCTTCACCTTGTACTATATTTCCATTTAATGATACTAGATGAAACAACCAGGTTGTTCTTGTTGTGTAATTTCATTTAATAATACTAGATGAAACAATCAATTTGACTTCTCATTACATGTCCCTGTAATGCTACTAGATGAAACAACCAGTTTGTTCTTGTTGTGTAATTTCATTTAATAATACTAGATGAAACAATCAATTTGACTTCTCATTACGTGTCCCTGTAATGCTACTAATGAAACAACCAGTTTGTTCTTGTTGTGTAATTTCATTTAATGATACTAGATGAAACAATCAATTTGACTTCTCATTACATGTCCCTGTAATACTACTAGATGGAACAACCAGTTTGTTCTTGTTGTGTAATTCCATTTAATAAAAATAGCCACTCGTTGCATATTCCTGTAACGCGACTAGATGAAACAAACACGTTGTTCTTGTTGTGTAATTCCACTTAATGCTACTAGATGAAACAACCAGGTTGACCTTGCTGTAGGTTCACACTCTAAAAGGTGCAAAACTGGCTCAGTTGTCAACCAAGTTTGGAAATCAAGAATTCCAAAAAAACATCTAATCAGCTAAAACATTAGAGATACAGAAATGTGTCATTTATTTTTTTAAAAGTGATACAAGTCCTCATTTTTGTGTAACAGTATTTGCAGTTAACTTCCGATCTGTGTATAGGAGACAGATCTGTGCAATGCAACATAGTTATGTCATCCTTTGCTTTGAATAACTAATAGAAAAAATAAATCCGTGAGAGAAACAAATCGGTGGCAACCTTCATAGTTAGAGGCATGATTTAGCAATTCTTGATGTTGCAAGATAATTATGACCTTTTGTCACCAAGCAGAGCACAATTACGACATTTTTTAAATGCATTTAAAAATGTGCCAAACTGCATTTTAACGGTGCCGTTCTTCGTCTCAAGTACATCAACACTGGATCACCTTTCGCTTCTCTTTCATACCGTAATCGTTGTGTGGCTGAACATAAATATTTAAATGAATGCCTTCTCACGTTCAGACCACCATATTATTGCTTACATGTACGTAAATGACACATTTGCCATTTTTTAAAACCTACACATGCTACACTCAACTGCAGAGTCTTTTCAGTTGTCAATCACTTCATGTTAAGTAAAACAGCCGAACAAGAACAACAACTTTTTTTTTGACCAACATCTTTTAACAATGAACAAGGCTTCAAAGTAGGGGATTTTATCGTTAATCATAAACCTGTCTCTGTTGGCTTTAAGCTCAATCTGTTTGCCACATTAACCACTATAGGTTCTCAAATAGTTTTTCTTCTGGAATAATCGAATACACTAGTGTATTTCATGGAATAGCAGTTGTATAAACTCTCCACAGTATATTATCCATCTCAGCACCCTTAAATTCAACTTGACATTAATAATTCCCTTTTACTCATTCCAAGTATGGAACACTATTCACATACCCCTTCTCTAGGCTGTATATGCAAATACAGGTCAGGTTTATTCGTTCCAGCACATTTTTTCCCCTCTCTTTGTTTTCAAAGTAAAATAAAGCTAATGAATCTAAGTTTCAAATGGACAGCAACTGCCTGGTGTAGAAACCTACAAATGTAGAGGACGATGTTTCGAAAATCTTCCGCCTTTTGTCTTCAGGTAGACTTTCGAAACGTCGTCCTCTACATTTGTAGGTTTCTACA